CTCGCTGTCTCTCTGTCAAATAAATAAATAAAAATCTTTTTAAAAAAATATGACTGGTGAAACATCTAGATTATGGATAATTTTTACTCCGTAATTTACACTTTTCTGTATTTTCAAAAATGCCTCAATTTTTAAAAACTAAGAATGTAGTCATTGCCAAATTAATTTTATTAGTATTACTACCAATACTAACACTATCTAGTTTACTTTAATGCTTTTGACTAGCCAAAAATGCATTAGTACCTCTTGTGCCTAATCATCTACCAAGCAAAAGTGTGACCTAGATCAGGTAGCTCAGCCTAGGACTATTGCTGACGTGATTTTTATCCAGCAACAGGAAAATTCTGTTTTTTGGGTTTTTATTAAGTAAAGAATATGAGATCCTGGCAACTTCCTGCACTGCCTCTTGGTATATATCCCTACTGCACTTAATTTTTGTTAATATTTGCTTAGAAAAGTAAAAACAACAATATCTAATATATTCAGGGTTTACCAAGCGCCATTGTCCAAAATACTTTACCTGTATTATCACACTGTATAATTTATATTCCAAAACATACCTCAAAGCCATCTACTTCCCTCCATCTTCATTGCTAACTACCCTGGCCTAGCCCCAGCCTTGTTTGCCTAGATAACTCCCAAATGATCTCTTTAATTCACCCTCTCCTTTCTGATTCATTTTCCACAGTAGTCAGATTGATAATTTTTAAAATATTGCCCCCTTTTTTTTAAAACTATGGCCTAAAAGACTCCAATGCCTCTCAAACTTCATTTCATACCCTATCCCCCCTTACCCGAGCCACGGCAGTTTTCTTTTCTGCTCCTGAATACACTAGTCTGGTCTTCAGGGTTCCTATTTGCTCTACCTGGATTGATGTTCACCTGGCTTGCTCATTTTCATTTTTCAAGACTTGATTCAGTCACCACCTCCTCAGCATATCTAATGAAATGGCCTCTGCTAGCTACTTCCTAGCCCATCACCCAATTTATTTCTTTTACAGCACTCAGACATGTTTTCTCATTCCTGGTGTCTGCCCAATAAAGGCGGATACTATGTCTTGTTCAGCACCACAGCACCAGCAACAACGCCTCACCTCGGACCTCTTTGCTGAATTGAACCTCACTCTCTAAAGGTTATGAGGTGCATAGTATATAGTTAGTATCATTTTACAGTTAAAAATCCTATCATTGGGGCGCCTGGGTGGCTCAGATGGTTAAGCATCTGCCTTCGGCTCAGGTCATGATCCCAGGGTCCTGGGATCGAGCCCCACATCGGGCTCCTGGCTCAGCAAGGAGCCTGCTTCTCCCTCTCCCTCTGCCTCTCTCCCTGCTCCTGCTTTCTCTTCTCTCTCTGTATCCCTGTGTCTCTGTGTCTCAAATGAACAAATAAAATCCTTTAAAAAAAAAATCCTATCATTAACTTGAACTACATAGAATCATGGTGTCAGCCTGCCAGAATGGTCTTTTATTGCTAGTTATTCAAAGTGGGGTGGGGGTGGCAGGCATAACAAAACAAAATTCTTGGCAGATTAGAGAAAACAATAAAATACAAAAATTTAATTTATATCTTTTTATTTAAAACTACACTTCTATTAACCTCAGATTTAAGCAAAAGCATATATCTGTTAATTTGGTATGCTGTACTTAAAGGAACATCCTCCCATCTCAATTTTTGCCAAATGAGGCAAGGCATAAATACATGAAAAATAAAATAAGTGCTCTATGCAAAGTCAGAGGAACTTAAAAAGGAAATATTTACTATAGAAACTAAGTCACATTTTTATCATTGAAGAGGATTATGTTTATTATAGATTGAAAAACACAAATAAAAAAAATTTTCTAGAGAAACTTACTGTTAATATATATTCTAAACTGTACTTTTTTCTAGTTTTACCTAACAGTATAATAGCATTTTCCCATGTCACTATTCTTCTAAATTGATTTTTTAAGCCCATAATAAAGGCACCAAAATATATTTCAGTTTCCAACTCTCTATAACTATAAATGTTACCAATTTATTACTATGAATAATGAACTTGTGCACACATCGTAATACCTGATTATTTCTTTATATAACTTTAAATAGAATTACGGGGGGGAGGGGGCGGCGCAGCACGTGGGTGACTCAGTCAGTTAAGCATCTGCCTTCAGCTCAGGTCCTGATCCCACCTGGGGCTCTGTGCGGAGTCCCCTAGTCCCTGTCCCTTTGCTCCTCCCTCCCACCCCTGCTCTCTCTCAAATATATAAAACCTTTAAAAAAATAGAACCACTGGGTCAGAAAGTATAAACCTTTAAAGGTTTTTTTTTTTTTTTAAAGATTTTATTCGCTCATTTGACAGAGAGCGCACACAAGTAGGGGGAGCAGCCAGCAGAGGGAGAGGGAGAAGCAGGCTCCCTATTGAGCAGGGAACCGGAGGCGGGGCTCCTCGATCCCAGGACCCTGGGATCATGACCTGAACCTAAGGCAGATGCCCAATCGACTGAGCCACCCAAGAGCCCCTAAAGTTCTTTTCATAAAATAACTGACCTCCAAAACACTGTTCAACTCTAAGTCCCAATCAATAGAAAAAGAAAGTTCCTGCTTTCCTGTACCCTCAGTATGAGGTATCATTATGAAAAACTTAGCCAATATGAGACCGGAAATGAGTAGCAAATCCTTAAACTTACATTTCTATGCCTATTGGTTAAGTATGGTACTTTACACTTTTATTGGCCACTTGAACTCCTTTATGAACTCATTCATTTCTTTCAGCCATTTTTTTTTTTTTTTACTGGAAGATACACTGGTTTGTAAGAATTCTTCATAAATTAGGGATACTAATTTTGTAACTGCCCTGTCCAATACAGTAGTCACTGTTCACTGAGCACTTGAAATGTGACTTATTCTGAACTAAAATGTGCTAAATGTAAAATATACACTGGACTTCGAAGATGTAGTACAAAAAGATGATGTAAAATATCTCAATTTTTATCTTGATTACATATTGAAATATTTTTAATATACTGGATAAAATAATACCAAAATTAACTGTTTTTACTGTTTCACATATGGCTATCAGACAACCCAAGATTACATACATGTCTCACGTCATCTTTCTTTTGGACAGTGATCCTCTACAATACTATTTTCCTTTTCACCTTTAAACTGAGCTTTCAGTGTATAGGCATTTCTCATTTTTAAGTATGCAGATAAAGCAACAGTTTCCCTTAAGGTTTCCTTCTCTCCTTACTCTTTTTAAGTTTACCCCCTCTGCCATACAGGAATTTTAGAAGCATAAACTTTATTTCTTGACAAAGAAAAACATCTGTTTTTAGATTTTTTTTCCCAAAAGTTCTTCAAATATCCTTTTCTTCTTACATGCATCTACTTAAATAGTACCCTTTTTCTAAACGCGTTTTAAATTTTACCATAATGGCTGCCCTTTTAAAAATTGTTTCAGTTATTACTGGAACTAAATTTTCACAAAGAAGGTTATTTTTAAAACCTACTATGTGTTAAGTGCGAAAACACATTTTAATTTTCTGTTGATAAACATTCCAAAGAACTTTGCAAAGTCATTCTCACCGAAGAAATAGGTACTTATTATCTGTGGTTCACAGGCGGATGAGACAAAGAGCACATAATTTTCGGCATGATGACAGCTACAGAGAATAGGAATAACAAATTACACTATTTCAAGTCCTTTCTACCAACTTAGAAGGCAGTTTAGCCAATATACCTAATTTAAGTGTAAAATGCCAAAACTGCCTGGTCAATAGAATCAACTATGCTAGAAAGTTTACTTGGGGATTCTGGAGTACTGTATAATCAGAAGATTCATTTTGTTCATAAGAGAACCAGCTACATTGCCAATATAGAAAAATTCAACTTTTCTATACCCACCAAAAAGCCCCAGAACATGTTAAAAGTAACCCTTCTGAAATTTTAAAAGCCAGCTTTTACATTTATTGCAAATAAAAGATACTAATATATTCTAATTTATCTGCATAGCACAGGCGTCACTATAACTTATGTTACTTGTAAACTTGAATGACTCTACTACAAGTTCTAACTTCTATTGCCAGGCCACAAACATGCTACAAATTTTTTAAAACAAGAATCTTTGGGAAATGTTTCTGTAAATACTCTGTATGCTCAAGAATCTAAGGAATTAGACTAGAGGTGGATTTGGTTCTGTGTTTTTCCCTCTGTTCTCAAGGGGTCAAGCTATGGCAAAAAACGTAGGTAAGCCTGACTAAAACCTACAAGTTCAATGCTATTTTGGAAACTGTGGGACAACTTAAATTTGAGTCAAAAAAGAATGTGGAAAGAAAGGGATAAAAATTCTCGTCAACTACCTTTTTCTGGGTTACAGCTCCAGTACACAGGCTTTAACCAAAAAGATTGTTAACGGAACTGAAGAGTTAGTTCTTTTGCTTTACGATCCAAAACTGGGCTCATTCAATGACTGCGGCATGGTCATATCCTCATACTTAATGATTCGTAAATGATGAGTAGCACCCCATCCCTCCCTCCCTCCTTTTTAGGAAATTTAAGGAAAAAAGTTGGGAAAACGGGAGGAGCAGGGCAAGAAAATCTGTTGAGCCAAAGACGCTCAATGAAGGGGAGTCGGTGAAATCGAAAAGACCCTTGGCACTTTTAGGATTCCATAATTTCTCATTACCTAGGGGAGAGGGGTTGTCATCGGGCGACACCGCGATGCGCACGGAGCATTTTATCTGGTACAAAGTGGTTGGCTTCATGTACGTGACCCAGCCGGAGAGCTACCCACAAGTTTCCATGCGAGTCGTGCTAGGGCCTTAAGCAAAACCAGGGTCTGGGAGAACTGTCAGAAGTCCCCGCCAGTTGGGCGGGCTGAACTGCAAAGACAGAGACCCGAAAGGAAGGTTCTGGGGTTGGGGAAGGGCAAGCGGGCGAAGTGCCGGAGGCGAGGCGCCGAGCCCGGCCTGCTCCTCCAGGCCCGCTGCCGTGGAGCCAGCGGCCGAGGCGGGACACTCACCCTGGCGCTCGCTGGAGCCGTGGGCCGCCGCCCTGCAGCGCAGACGGAGCCGGCACAGGGAGGACCAGCTACATCTGTGGGCCGCAGCGGCGGCGGCCAAGCCCGGTAACATCCTGGCGGGGCAAAGGCCCCCACTCGGACACCACCTCCTGCCTCCGCGACGCCGCGGGGAACTAACTCCATAGACTGGACACCTGCTAACGCTCACGCCTGCGCCGCCGCTGCGGCCTCATTGACCCGGAAATGGTAACATCATTTATCGGCGCCGGTCGCGCAGGTGGCGGAAGTGACGTAGACAAAGAGTACAAATCTGGAGGCCTTGTCTCCGCAGACCGAGACCCGTGGCGTGGGCAGGGCGTGGCTGCAGTCAGGGTTTGGTGTCCGCCCTTCTTTTTCCCGCATCTGTATCTTTTCGCTTTAGTTGGAAATCATCGCGTATTGTTTTCATCTAAACAGCTAGGAAAGCTTTGGGAGAAGTGACAGGGCCTTTTCCGGCGTCTGCCTGCTCCTTTCTAATTTATGAGCTCGAAATTTGGGTGGTGGTGTTGGAAATGGGAAGAAAGGTGGAAAAGAAGGATGCTGCTTTTCTTAACCTCTTTCGGGAGCCTTCTTGGATGAGCCTAAGCGGCGGCTAACGTACCGAACTCAGTACTCTCCGAACATTGCCACAGTACGTCGTTCTCTTTGTAACACACTTTTGTGTAGCCAGTACATGAAGGCAAGTACTCATTTTGGAATCAGTACTTGCTTTACTAACCTCTGAACCTCAGATTCTCGTGTGTAATGTAGTAAAGTAAGGCTTTCATATGTTCAAGATTTGCCTGAGTAGAGGGAGATGTGCAGCCATCGAAAAAGGAGTCAGTCTGGTTCTAGAGAGAAAGAGACCGGAACAATATTCACCGTGGTGTTTACCCCTGACAGGCTTGTTCAGGACTCAGCGTAAACTCGGGAGAGGCTTTCCTTAACCCTGGCCAGTGTAGTAGGGCTGGTTATTCTCTGCCGGGTTGCCTTGTATATTTTCTTCAAAATGCTTATCACTGTTCGAAATTATGTTTTTTTTATTTTTTAATTTTCTGTCAGAATAGAAAATAAGCATCAGGATGCTGGAATCTTAGGTTTTGTACATTGCTGTTTCCAAGGGGGTAAAAAACAATAGCTGGCACAACAAGTAAGTTGAGGGGAATGCATGGTGGTTTGTTTTGAAATCAATTTGAGTAGCTTAACTATGTTACTACACAATTAACTATTTCAAAGAAATAAATTAGCATGTTCCTAATTTTGAGAGAATCAACAGTCTTTTATGCTAATTTAGATAACCGGTTTGTGAAGTCATAGTGATGAAATTAACCTAAGAATGGTAAACAAAGTTAACTTCTGTGACAAACCTAGTTTAAAACGTTAAATGGTCAGGGCATCGCAGTGGCTTAGTCGGTTAAGGGTCCCACTCTTTTTTTTTTTTTAAGATTTTTTATTTATTTGACACAGCGAGAGAGGGCATGCTGGCGCGAGAGAGCACAAGCAGGGGGGTGGCAGAGGGAGAGGGAGAAGCCGACTCCCTGCTGAGCAGGGAGCCAGATGAGGCTCAATCCAAGGACACTGGTATCATGACCCCAGCCAAAGGCAGAGGCCCAACCTACTGAGCCACCCAGGTGCCCCTAAGCGTCCCACTCTTGATTTCAGCTCAGGTCATCATCTCCAGATGATGGGATGGAGCCCCACAGGGAGCCCTCCCCCTTTGGTCCTCCCCACTCTCGTGCAGCGTTCTCTTCCCCCTCTGTCTCTCTCAAATAAATAAAACTCTTTAAAAAAAATAATTTCACCACTTACTTGGTTACCTTCCTTCACTTAAAAAAAAACTGAGTGGACATTTAAAAATTGCCATAATATGCATAACCTCAAGATTACTCAAATAACTGAATATTACTGGAAAGTTTTTATCTCTTCCTTATAACAGATTTTAACAGAAATTCAACTCTATGATATAAAATACATAAAGGCTTATCTCTAATTTTATGTAAATATCCACTGACCTTCACTAATAATGCTTACCTGCTTCGGATCCTGGTTTCTTAACTTGGATACTGTATTAATTTTGATAAACCTTCAGAAGTCTTGACTTGCCAAATAAATTTGAAGAATAAAGCAGATCATGCTGGGTTATCTTGTTTAAGCCTCCCGATGTTCTATCAAATAATAAGGTCTCCATGGACTTGGATTAAAATACTTCTGCGGCTGTCTTGGTATTTACACCTATATTGTCATTATATACTTGTCCTGCTGGACAGTCCTCAAAATTTCCCCAAGTGCTGAAAAGTGAGGCAATGTCAGTTTTAGAGTTCCTTAGGAGAATTTCTTTTGACCCTAAATTCTTTGAGAAATCCCATCCTTACCAAGAGATTTTGCCTTACTGCTCCACTTCAGACACATTCAGCAGCTGCCTATATGTACAAAATGGGTAAGATTCCAATATCATGGGGCTTATTTTCTATCAGAGGAAACAAAATTTAAAAATAAACACAATTTCAAACAGTGATATTATTAGGGGTGTCTGGCTGGCTTAGTCAGTAGAGCATGCGACTCGATCTTGGGGTTGTGAGTTTGAGCCCCATGTTTGGGGTACAATTTACTTAAAAAATATTAGTAATAATATTGATCACTTACTAATTGCCACACTCTCCATGTGCATTATCTCATTCATAACACTTAAGCAAGTTATAGATGAGGAAACTAAGGCAGAGATCTTGCTTTTTACCACCACACGTTACTTTCTAAGTCAGTGGGTTTTATCCTTTGGAAGAAAATACGAGGTCTTTCAAAAGACTTGAATGACAACATGGTCTTTTGTTTCCTGAAATGTAGGTCAAAAGAGCATGTCCCTAGATTTTTTTATGTATGATCAACATGATACTGAGTTTCAAAAAAATAAACTTTCATGAGGATTTGTGATATAAATAGGCGCCTAAATATAGGTAACTCTTAAGTCAGAGAGATGGAAACAGAAGTTAGGAAAGGAATGAAGGGTCATTTGATTATTAGCACACACCACAACACCTGCAGGGTTTTCCATGAACTCTGAAGAAGTTCCTATGTCTTTCAGGAATTTGCTTCTGTAACTGAGCTGTTCCTTGGTTTCACCTTGTCTGTTGCTTTGGGAAAATAGTGATTCTGATCATGAGACAAACTTGGCCATTTATTTGGAAAATTGAGTTAGATAATCCATTGCAAGATAAAGTGAGTGGTTCTATCATGAGGTATACTAAGAACACTAATTTTGAATGCATATATTTGTGGGCATCATGTTGATTTTTGCATGCAGGATTGGGGGTGGAGGGAGCTTGCCCACCTAAACACTTCAAAAAGAAAACAGCTTATGTGTGGATAAAAGGGAGACTACCTGGCCACAGCCAAGAGTGTCAATGCCTGCTGTACAAACATGGTCAGAAGCAGTGTGGGTCTGCACAGACATAGTTTGCATGTATAGGCAAACATCTGCATAAGTAAAGAAAGTGAAATGTGAATTTGATACGATGTCTGACCAGGCTGCTAATCCTCCTCTCCATTTTTCAGAGCTGTTGAGTGATTTTCCCAAAACCACTCAGCAAGGATGGGCTCAAACATGGAATCAGACACTGGTCCCCTGACTCCAAATCTGTAGGTGTGTGAGCATGGGGTGCACGGGGCAGAAGCAGAGGTTGGTTGTTCTGATGGGTTTTGTCCCCACATTATTCTGTGAAGTAACTTGTTTCTTAATCATAATTATTACGTGAAATAACCATATGGTAACTCCACTTGCATTCAATAGGTTCTTTGCCACTTTGCCACTTCCATCCAGGAATAAAAAGAGTGATTTCTCCAATGATGACCATATTCCTGGGTCCTAGCTCTCTTATCCATCTTAGCGTCTCCAATAATAGCACCTTCTGCGATTCACTTTAAGTTGGGGGGGAAATTTTATATGTAAATTTATATGTATGCATCTTTCACCATGTGCCCCTGGCTCTCTTCCTCAGAGTTTAGTGATCAGGGGATTACAGGCATTACAATTGGGAAAATCAAGTTACTAAATACTCCTGGGGACAGAGGAGACTGAAATGTTTGATAACCGTTATCCTTGAGAAAAATAAGCTGGGGACTGAGAGCAAGTAGATTTGGTACTTTTGGGAAGGGCAGCATTTGTGAAGAGAGTAAATTTCTTCTGCAAAGCCACAGGTGGGTGTACCAAAAGAAATTCTTGTAGGTTTTTAAAAATTTAACTTTTTTTTTTAAAGACTGTATTTGAGAGAGAGAGAGCGAGAGAGAGCAGAAGCAGGCAGAGCAGCAGGCAGAGGGAGAGGGAGAGGGAGGCTTCCCACCAAGCAGGGAGCCCAATGCTGGACTTGATCCCAGGACCCCGGGATCATGACCTGAGCCGAAGGCAGCCACTTAACCAACTGAGCCACCCAGGCACCCCTTTAAAAATTTAACTTTTTATTGAAGTATAATACGCAGAAGAAAGCATAAATCTTACAGGCACACCTCTAAGGATTTTAACTAAGGAATGAAACTATGTTACCGGTACACAGCATTACAGGCTTCCCAGAAGCTTCTCTTCCACTCACTACTCTCCCACCCGTCAAGGTAACATGCTTCTAACAACATAGATTGATCTTCCCTGTTTGGGGACTTTATATGCATGATTATATATACACTGTGTATTCTTTCATAGTACATATGAAAGAATCTAGTTTCTTTACCTCAATATTATGTTTGTGGGATTCATATTGTTTTCATTCTCACAGCTATGTAAGATCCCATTGTATGGATATCCCACAATTTGCCCATTTTACTGCTGATTAGCATTTAGGTAGTTTCATTTTGGAGCTATTACAAATTATCATGGACATGTGTATGTGTTTCTGATGGATATATTCCTAGGACTAAAATTACTGGGTCACAGTATGCAAACTTCCAGCTTTAGCAGTTACTAGCAGTTTTCTGAAGTAGTTGTACCAATATACACTCCCAACAGCAGTATGTGAAAGTTCTGTTTCCTCATGACCGCACCGACATTTGCTACTATCTTCTTTTTTAGCCTCATGGTAGGTATGGAGTGGCATGGCATTGTAGTTTTAATTTGTATTTCCTTGATGATAAATGAAGTTGGATACCTTTTCAAATACATACTGTCCATTTGGATATGCTTTTCATATCCTATTTAAGACTATTATTGCCCACCTTTCTTTTAGGTTGTCTGTGCTTTTCTTACTGATTTGTG